TCAATCAATTTACTACATTGTCTCTAGGTCTACAAAAACAATTTGTGGAAGACCTGTGAACCAATTGGTATGTCCAGGACAATTATGTTCTACTGTCAATACAAACTTTTCAATAAATGGAAGGAGGCAGTGGAAGATAAGAGGGCCTGGCCTGCTCTGGTCCATGAGGACATGAAGAGTCAGACATGACTTAAACGACTAAACAACAACAAATAAATGGAAGTCTCTGATCTGAGGCACATCCACACAGGTGATCAAAAAGAGCCATATCTTTGTGGAATACTCCTGTAGACCTTATTGTTGACCCAAGTGGTGTGGATTAGTGTAAAGAGAGACATATATTAACATGGACTATATTCAAAGAATTAGAAACTGAAATTTCATGGTTTATCTCTTTTGTACACTGGCCTATCTCTTTGTGGGAGTTTGAAGAGGATTGACAGAATGAGGAATCAATGCAGTGAATATTTACAAGCACATTTCCTTTTGTTTTTCATCTTTCTAGTTAAGGTCCGTACAGCAAAATTAGTTCCACTTCTTTCAGTATTTTGCACCAATAAATAGTTTTCTACATACTAATCCTCCTTTAGAAATTTATCCTTCTTCAGAGGCTTCAATTTGATGTGCATTTTGTAAATACTGTTTACATATGTTTTCAGCAGTTTTTAAAGCCTTTGTTTAGAATATACAGTACTTACATTCTTTTCCATATAATATAGATCAGGTAGTAACGGGTCGATTTTTTACTGGGAAAACCTATGTATCTTGAAAGAGTGTCATGAAAAGTATGCGAGTATTCAGTCCAGTATGGAAAACCTTGTGGAACCCAAATGTTTTGTGCTATTGTTGTTTTTATATAAAGCATTATTTGAGTAGGCAAAATGTGGCCCACAGGATTCACCCTCACCGTCACTGCTATTACCTATCACCCACCCCTGTTTTAGATCTATATCTTTGTACAGAAATCATCTTCAAGTGCAACAGTCTTTTTATATTGTCAGTCTTCCCATGACATTTAGAGAAAGTCTTCTTTCTTTTTTCTCTCATTACCTTTTTAATTTTTGCATGTTCAGGTTTAGGCATGTTTGTGCACACGTAGCCTTAAATTCATGACCTGTGCATGATTCAAAATAATTTCATGTGATGTGTGCCGGTATAAACATGTCTCATGTAATTCTTGCAGGCAAGCCCATCATCAAATTAAACAAGATTTAAAGATTTACTCTTTGATCTTCCTGAGCTACCTTATTTCCCTTTAGGATATCTCATTTTGCAGGTTTACCGACTGCTAAGTGTTATATCTTCTTGCTGTTTGTATTATCACAGCTTCTTTTAAAATCAGCATTTTGTTCTAGGTGTCCCTTGTTTTTTAGGCAGCTTCTGAAAGCCGCAGGACACACCACAGTTTCCTCAAAATAATTACTCTGCATGCTGGGGTTGTACTGGAGCTTGAATTTTGGAATGACTACAAGATGCTTTTAAAAAAATCTGCCTTTTTTAAAATGTTTAATTTCTTATCTTAAAATACATATATCCTCTACTTCTTTGTAAAACCGAAGTGACTTCCAGTACCTGGTGTGTATCTTACAACACAATGGTGTAAAAACATGTATTCTTGATTTCCATGCCAAATCTAATAAAAATAGTGCAGACTGATTTTGATGAGTGAAACAGACTTTATGGGTGTCATTTTACTTGATGTCAAAAGTTAGTGGTAAACTACATAGGTATGTATCATCAGCATATTTCAGCAATACACAGGTGTATTCACAACTGGTTTTGTTCTGCTAATGCAACATTGTCCTTTTTTCTGTAATTTTGTTAATAAGGTCACATATATTCTGGTGCACCTTCAGCATATTTGACGCATTACAGTCAAAGCACTATGATGAAATATATAACCACTCTTATTTCCCTTTAGCTGTTATATTGTGAAATAGTAGTTATGTATTTCACATTTCTATATCACTTTTCATTAAAAAATCCCAAAGAATCTCACAGTTTTTTTTAATTAAATGGCATAAAATATAGTCAAGTCGTGCAATTGACTAGTACTGGAGCATTTCTCAAAATCTGTAACATTTTTTGGGGGGGAGGAAACTGACGATCAAGAAAATGCTAGGAACGAGATATGTGCCCTCATGCTCCACCTTGTGTTGGAGGTCCATCTGAATTCAATGGTGAGATAGTTCTTCATCTTGGGTATCCCAACAGAGAAAGACTTCACTGTATAGCCTTATTGTCCTGTGAATGCATAGTACTTGCAAGGGCGATGAAGGGAAAAGAGATAAAAATGAAATACAAAAAATCAGCATGTCGGAGGGGGGACCCCAAGAAATCACCTTTAGCAAAGGTTTGTGAGAAGGAAGGGGCTAACCCTCTTTTGGTCTGCCCTGCCTTCAGTCAGGAGAGAGTTAAGTCCCCTGTGTTGTCATACTCTTGTTGTAATTTCTGTCCTCTGAGATATGGAGAACCGGTGGGGTTGATTGCCCCAACTGGTGCTTGACTGGCTTCTGAAAACCAGAAGGGCCCCTCTGTTACACAACTTCCTCCCCTACACGGAAGAAATGTCCATTGTCATGGCAACGCAGCTGTGCCATGTCACCTGACAGGTACAGTGTCCGTGTCTGTTATCTTCAGCTGTCTTGCTGAGCCATAGATACAGCTCCCTTCCATGCTGCAGAAAGTTCCTCGTAATGAAAGTTGACAGTTTTTGAGATTTTAATACGCTGCATGCAATGCCATATTCTATTTACTGTGATTTTGGTATATATGTACTTCTGCATGCTGTGGGTACTTTGATTTCCCTTTGCTCTTGCTCTCTCTCTTTTGACAGTTTAACGGCTCCTCCCCACTGCTCCCATGTCCGTGACCCCTGCCAAATATTAATGTTCAGGGGCTTCTTACATGTGCTTTATATTTATGTACTAGTGTGATAATCACAGGCAGAAACCACATATAGTCAAGCAAGCAGCATGGCGTGAGGGATGAAATGCCATCCTTCCTCTGCATAGAAACCAAGTGGGCTGCTAACTCTTGCTCGGTATTGACATGTAGCTGAGTCTGTTGCACTTCTGCAGCATTCGTGTGCTCCTAATTTTCATTTCAGGCTGATAACGTTGGGATTTCCAGCCTGTCTTTCAATAATGTATTAGCCTTAAAATATCAGACCATCTCTGTTCACTGAAAGTAAATGTTGCTCTTTCAGTTCCAAAATACAGTATTCATATTTTCATGGTATGTCTTTGGCATCACACCTATTAATTTTGACTGTGGGTTTGCTCTTGTTCTATTCTTAAACAAGCCCTTCAACATATCTTGCTTGGAAAAAGTGTCTTGAGGCAGTACTGTAGAGATAATTGCTCATATATCTCTCAAGGGGGAGTAACTGCTAAAGAAAAACTGATTATTAATGGAGAATTTTAAGTGTCACCCCATGCATGTGCTCCTTTTGTCAGACTTGCATAAATAAACTAGTTGAGAAAGAGAATTGTAGTGCCAGTTCATTTCTAATGTTAGTATTGCAAGGGTTGGAAACCTTTGGACTGCAATTTTCACACACATGTGCCTTTGGCCATCCTGACCTCTACTTCTAGCCCAGATCTGACAGGGCCGTAGTTTCACCATTCGTGCCTTACTAGATCAGATCAGTGTTCCTTCTTATTCAACATTTTGTCTGTAACAATCACCAGCAGTAAACGTGTGGAAGATTCCAAGGGGAGTATAATGGAGAGAAATGGTTCTCTATTGTTGTTACTAGCATTTAATACCTGGAGAAGATGTATTGCTTCTGAAGAGAGGAATTGTTTAGCATTCAGGCATCTTCGCTAGTGTACACAGATCTGGATTTCAGAGACTCTTATTCTCAGTTCCCAAAGCCAATGCTACACCTTTGATGATTTGCTTCAGGGGATGATGCATTGGATGACTGATAATACTGTAGGAAGTGCCTAAATCAGGGTAGAAGATCCTTGGCTTTCCAAATATTTTGGATTCCAAGTTCCATAAGTCTTACTCAGCACAGCCAGCAATAATGGATTATTGGAGTTGTAGCCAAGCAGCTGGAATGCCAAATGTTTCCTGAACTTTTTAGGTACTGCACCGACAAATGCCAAAGCAGGCCCTACCTGCGGCTTTGTAGTTGACATTCTAGAAAAGGAGAAAAGACAGAAGAAAATGAGCAAATTCAGGGATTATTATTGATTACATAAACCAGACGAGTGATTTTGGTCAGAAATTGAAAAGAACAAAATTAACTAAGACTTGTCTTTGTGGTCTCTGTGGATTCACACACATGGATTACCTCTATGCCTGTACATATGCTCTTGAGAACATTCTAGAGCTTTACACCTTTCCTTAGCTAATATACTGCTCCACCTAATGGTTGGTCTTCAGTTCTCTCTAACCACCAACTTGGCAGCATATTGGGGAGTGTTCAGAGTAAGCGTTCTTCTACTGCTAACCAATGGCCACAAGAAGTGCCTCTACTACCTGGGGGTAGGTTCACTAAACCCAGAATTGTGAGATCTGCCAAAACTTCACAACAGTGGCAAAAAGCATGCTGCTTATATACTGCCCCAAAGTAAACAGAATAACAAAACCTACCATTTCCAAAATAAAAGTAGAGAAGACTGGCCTATTGTTCTTGAATATGTGCATTTGTTTTAGGAGATTAACCTGAAAACAAATCTTTCTAAGTAAAACTAGTTTGATTTTCTAATTTTTGAACTTTAAAGTTGATCAAAGTCAGAAAAATGTAGGTGGCAAAGAAATAACATAGAAGTGGATGCGATCAGTTTCTTAGGATATTGGAGCCAAATTTCCAAAGTATTTATTCGGAAATAGGTTTCAAAGCCATGTTAGAGCACTTTGAAACTAGGAATGAACAATTCCCTCATCTTATTTAAATGTCTATTAGGGACTCCATGGGAAACTGTGTGGATGATACTGTGTTCTGGTTTGTGGAGCAGGTTCATTTGAACCCTCTATTTGTTTTCTAGGGGAGGCCGGAGTGGTGGAAGTTTCCTTTGCATTGGCGATTATTTCCATCTGTACCTTTATAGTCCTGGTACTGCTGCTGGTGAATTGTGTATCTTGTTGTAAAGATCAAGAGATAAACTTCAAGGTGAGTACAAGAAGGAAATACCTGTACCCTTGTGGTGTTGTAACTGATAACAATGATGTAGTATAGCAAGAAGTACAAAACTTGTCTCCACTCTAGTGAAAATCAACGATTCCTTAACGTCTGCTTAAATTACTTAAAATTTTCTTATGTGAAGTTGTTTCTCCAGCAGTTTTTTTTTTTTCAAAGCAATTAATCTCAGGCAGGATAGAGAAGGCTTGTGCATTTTTAAATAGTTTCATTAATTTTAAAATTTATTTTATTGATCAGAATGCGATCCGTTTATTATGTCAGCATTAGTGATGTGGCATAAACCACAGTGGAAAATTGCCTCTAGTTAAAGCAAAGCAACGTGTGTTACCTGTATACTGCCCCATAGTGCTTAAAACACACTCTGGGTGGTTTACAACATAATTATGTTGGCTACAAATTACCCTCCCCAAGCTGGATACTCGGTTTAATATCCTCAGAAGGATGGAAGGCTGAATCAACCTTGAGATAGGAATTGAACTTGGGTAATGAGCAAAGTCTTGACTGCAGTTTAATCACTTGTACCACAAGGCTTCTAGTTAAAGGGGCCATCAACAAGAAATATAAGTGGCAACTCATTAATGAGGAACTGTTCAATACTAAAATTTACACCACTGTTTATGAGATTAGCATAACCAGTGTTATTCTGGTTAGTGTTGTACTGTGTAGTCGTTCTGATTCCCACTTTGTAGTTCAGTCACAGTTTTAAGTTGAAAAGGTATTGAAGAGATACTGGGGAAGTTGAATAAAAATGCTCCTTTTTTTCTTTGAAGAAGGTACTTTTCTGATAGTTTTTAAAGAAACACATCCAGAGTTTCCATGGAGATTCAGTTAAGAAAATAGTCTTTTAATATGTTAGAGATCTTTTAAAGCCTCTTTTACATGCCAGCTATTTCAGAAAAGTATTTGAAGAGGTCAGAGATTGGAATCCAGGTATGGATTGATCTGGGGTTTTGGAATGTAAAAAAATGATACAAACAGAATATTGTTCTTTCTGGAGAGTTCTCTAGTAGAACATGAGTGAATGCTGAGCTTGTAAGGATGCCTCTCTTAGGCTTATTCCTTGGATGTTAATCTGTCTCTGTGGTATCCTTTTCTTCCAGCTACATTAAAGTAGCTAAGCTGCAGCTAAAATCTGACACTTCCTGTGTGGGAGAGAATTTAGAGAATCTGCTGTATGGGCAAGGAACAATGGTTATAAAAGCATTCAGATTGGTAACCTTTTCCTCTTAAGTAGGAAACCAGGTGGAAAGCTTAAAATAGAAACTCTCATGAAGTTTACAAGAAGGAACTGACTCTAATAAAGCATAAATCTAAGCCAGGGTCTATGGATTTTTGTTTCTGAAACAGCAGTGCAATCATATGGCATAGTACAGTGCCTTTGAAATGGAAGCAATCTTTAAATAATGATTAATGTAATCTTTAAATCCCCTTCATGGATTGCTGCCTTGTCATGGCGAAGGGGCTTGAGTAATTCAAAGAAGCTATGGGCTATGCCATGCAGGGATACCCAAGACGGACAGGTCATAGTGGAGAGTTCTGACTAACCACGACCCACCTGGAGCAGGAACTGGCAAGCCACTCCAGTATCTTTGCCAAGAAAACTCCATGGACAGAAACAAAAGGCTAAAAGATATGATGCTGGAAGATGAGCCCCGCAGGTCGGAAGGCATCCAACATGCTACTGAGGAAGAGTGGAGGACAAGGACAAGTAGCTCCAGAACTAATAAAGTGGTTGGGCCAAAGGATGCTCAGCTGCGGACTCGCCTGGAAATGAAAGTCCAGTGCTGCAAAGAAGAAAACTGATAGGAACCTGGAATGTAAGATCTATGAACCTTCAGTCAAACAGGAGTGACAAGAATAAACATTGGCATCCTGGGCAGTGAACTAAAATGGACGGGAATGGGCAAATTCAGTTCAGACGATTATCATATCTACTATTGTGGGCAAGAATCCCGTAGAAGAAATGGAATAGCCCTCATAGTCAACAAAAGAGTGGGAAAAGCTGTACTGGGATACAATCTCAAAAATGATAGAATGATTTCAATATGAATCCAAGGCAGACCTTTCAACACCACAGTAATCCAGGTTTATGCACCAACCACTGATGTTGAAGAGGCTGAAATTGACCAATTCTATGAAGATATACAACACCTTCTAGAACTGACACCAAAGAAAGATGTTCTTCTCATTATAGGGGGTTGGAATGCTAAAGTAGGGAGTCAAGAGAGAAAAGGAACAACAGGGAAGTTTGGCCTTGGAGTTCAAAACGAAGCAGGGCAAAGGCTAATAGAATTTTGTCAAGAGAACAAGCTGCTCATCATAAGCACTGTTTTCCAACATCACAAGAGGCGACTCTACACATGGATATCACCAGATGGGCAACACCGAAATCAGATTGATTATATTCTCTGCAGCCAAAGATGAAGAAACTCTGTACAGTCAGCAAAAATAAGACCTGGAGGTGATTGTGGCTCTGATAATCAACTTCTTATAGCAAAAGTCAAGCGTAAACTGAGGAAAGTAGGAAAAACCACTGGGCTAGCCAGGTATAATCTGAACCAAATCCCTTATGAATACACAGTGGAAGTGAAGAACAGATTTAAGGAACTCGATTTGGTGGACAGAGTGTCTGAAGAACTATGGATGGAGGCTCGTAACATTTTACAGGAGGCAGCAACAAAAGCCACCCCAAAGAAAAGGAAATGCAAAAAAGCAAAGTGGCTGTCCAACAAGGCCTTACAAATAGCGGAGCAGAGAAACGAAACAAAATGCAAGGGAGATAGGGAAAGTTACAGAAAATTGAATGCAGACTTCCAAAGAATAGCAAGGAGAGACAAGAGGGCCTTCTTAAATGAACAGTGCAAAGAAATAGAGGAAAATAATAGAAATGGAAAAACCAGAGGTCTGTTCAGGAAAATTGGAGATATTAAAGGAACATTTTGTGCAAAGATGG